CATTGCCTACCAGCACAGCACAAATGTAAAGGATTTACCGGGGCTGTTGTGGGACACACCCACTACCATCTATCATATCTCCAAGACCAGGTGAGTAACAGAGCTGTTACAACTTGCAAAGTCACTTCACTCACATGAAAGGGTTAAGGATTAACAACCCATTTTTATTAGCTGAAGAACATCAATAAACTGTTGCAAATAGCTCCAAGTGCAACTGTTCTATTGCTCTCGTGGGGGATTTCATAGGAGATGAGAAAGATCGAACACATGGCCTTTCTGTGTGTTTGTCTGTGCCCTCAGGGAACTCTCTCCCAGCTACTGCATTTACACTGGCCCAAAGCTGATCAGTGCTCAACAGCAAATACAGAACAGTGACTTTCCCACAATACACTGACCAGGGCCTCACATACGCATGGCAAGCAATGCCAGGGCCAGACTGCTGGTGGAATTTTCCTCCAAGCCCCAATCTCTCCCTACTGCTAGCTAGCTCAACATTCCATCCACTGTCCAGTCTAGTTTCCGCCCACAGGCTCCTGGGGTAACAATCGCTGCTCTCGTGTGCAGTGCCAAGAGGTGCAGAAGTAGGCAGGCAGAAACTCCACTAACAGAGAACGGCAACTGGACTGCATGTGACAGATCATGTTGTTATTGGTGATACTGTGGCTTCCCCTTTAAGCGCAGGGTCCCGCGCCACAGCCCACTTAGGGTACGTCTAGACTACATGCCTCTGGCGACAGAGGCATGTAGATTAGGCTACCCGGCATAGGAAAACAAAGCAGCGATTTAAATAATCACCGCTTCATTTAAATGTAAATGGCTGCAGTGCTGAGCCGATCAGCTGTTTGTCGGCTCAGCGCGGTAGTCTGGATGCTCCGCGGTCAACATCAAAGGCATTTTTCCACCTCCCCGGTAAACCTTATCCCACGAGGAATACTGGGGAGGTCGACAAATGCCTTTGATGTCGACCGCGGAGCGTCCAGACTACTGCGCTGAGCCGATAAACAGCTGATCGGCTCAGCCGGAAGCGGCGATTATTTAAATCGCTGCTTCATTTTCCTATGCCGGGTAGCCTAATCTACATGCCTCTGTCGCCAGAGGCATGAAGTCTAGACATACCCTAAGTGTCTATATGGGGAGACTATTCTCCTGCAGAGACTCAGGAAGTGAATTTGTCAAGGAAATGGGAGGACCCTTCAAAGGTGCTTATGATGCCATTTTCCCAACCCTGGCCTTAGTGAACTGGAAGAGAAAGCAATTCATAGTACAGCTGGTTCTCTCTCCCACAATTTACAGGCCCTAAAAAAAAAAAAAAAAAAAAAAACATATGGATGGCCCTGGTAAGCTGAAAAAACTTTAAAAAAAAATCTGGTTCCTCAGATTTACAGGGAAAAAAGCCATTCCGTGGCTGCATTTCCCATATCGTTCCATGAAGGAATCCTGACGTCTTCAGTTTTGCTGCAATGCCCTTTGGGGAAATCCGGTCTGCCCAAAGCCTCTTAGTGATTGTGTTCAACAGAGCCTGAGGATTCATGGAGATAAGAGAGACGTTCTACTACTCGGGGTTTCAGGCTCTCTCCCCTTGGGTCAGCAGAGACGAGTGTCACAAGGTCTGGGATGCGAGCTGCCTGCCGGCAAGGAAGTTCCTAGAAACCAGTTCTATGGGACAGATCTCATGCCAATTTCTTGTCACTGCAGAAGTGGATGGATGAGAAGGATATGGATACATCACAGTGGCCTCTGGTGCAGTTTATTTACAACGGAACTCAGTGCTGGAGAACATCAGGATATTAACAAGCAGGAAACACGCTGGCAGGGGAGAGAAGAATATAATAGTGCATTAAATCCCAATTACCCTCTGCAGACTTGAATTCCACACCACCCAACGAAACTCACTAATGCCAATAGAGCGGCAACACAAATGATCTAGAACAGGGGTGTCCAAACTTTTTTCAAAGAGGGCCAGATTTTATGAAGTGAACATGCGTGAGGGCCGACCATTTTGCCTGACATTCTTTGAACCATTAAAATTAAACGCAAATTAACTATTTTATGCAAAGTTTATTGCAAACAGCATACTTTTCATTTCGTCACATGGATGACAAATCTAAACAGGTGTTAAATCACTCTGCCTTTCATATCTGAAGGCCAGATGAAAAAAAAAATCCAGGAAGCTGAAATATATGTCAGGAACATTGTAAAGTACATTACATATTATTGGTAATAAAGATTGTCTGTCAACTTCTAAGTTCAAAAAATATGAACAGGAACATAACACCAAGTATACATGTTGTGTCCAAATATATTTATAACTGATTTAGACCAACTGACATTAACTGAGATTTTACAATGTATTCATCTCAATACATATGGATTCGTTGGGGGCCATAAAAGATAGATATTGCCAAATTACCTGTGGGGCCGTATTAAACCGGAACACGGGCCGCAATTGGCCCGCAGGCCGGACTTTGGACATGCCTGATCTAGAATATAAGTGAAGTCTATGTGGGCAATGTCCCAATTAGGTGCTTGCAGGCAGAATATAGATGCAGAGCTCTCACTAGTTCTAGAGTTTAATCCTGCTCTCTACAGCATAGAGCAGCAAACTGCAGTAAGTAGGACAACCTGCCCAACCCTTGGATACACCTATTTTGAAGCTGCCATCAAGTACAACCACGAAAGCAGCAGCGACAAGCTAATGCCTTATAATCCTCACAGCAACGGCACAGCTTGCCAAAGCCTGCTGTGGACTCAAAGGCAGCATAATGTGACTCTGGGGACCTCTCCCTCGTCCACTGCTTTAAAGCACATCCTACACTCTGTAGCCTTTCCTCGGGTTTCAGAGTCATATTGACTGGTCATATGACAGAGTCATATTCATCCTGCTTTTCACCCTAAAGGGCACGGGATAGGGTCACTCTACCACATCCCCCTAAGAATGCTGGCACTTCAGCGGTGGAAAATGACAACTTTTTTGACCTAGTACTTCTGAAACAAAGTTTTCCTTCAATTAAATCTCCAGAGGGAATTTAGGGACAGCAGAATAATACCCATAACACCAGGATTAACCCTCCTCTTCTTGCAGATCTGTAATGACAGATGGTCAGGATGTGCATCCAGCAGTTCAGAGCCCCTACCAATAGGTTAAGGCAGCATTTCCCAAACTAGGG